CAGTAGCACCTCGACAGCGCCGAGAGTACCACTCACGAAGCCGCTGTGGAGAGAAGGGCTCCCGCCGCAACGGGACGCCTAGAGCACCTCCAGACTCAGCATAGGCAGGCTCAGCACCTCCAAATGCAGTACCCTCAGGCGCCACACCCCCAGGCTCAGTACCCCCAGGCCCCGCACCCGCAGGGGAAGCACCCCTAGCAGCACCTGAGTCGACAGCTACCTCGACCGGCTCGGCAGGGTCTACCTGGGACACACCTGAGGGGGCAGGACCCTAGGGGGGGAGGGGGTCTACCAGGGGAGTACCTGGTGCGAGGAAGAGCGGCGGGGGGGGGGGAGAGGCAGTGCGGTAGGGAAAGAGACGGTAGTACGACACCGACTTGTCGAACGTGACGTCCTAAGAGGACAGAACACAACGCGAGGTGGGGTGGTAGAACTGCCACCCGGGTGCGTCAGGAGGGAAGCCAAGGAAGACACAGGGAACGGCACGGGAGGACAGCTTGTCCGCGGTAGTATTGCAGACAAAAGCTCGAGATCCCCAGACACGAAACGCGGACGCATCGCCAACCTTCCCCGTCCACCGCAGAGTAGGTGTGGTCTCCGGCAAGGAGACACGAGGCTGAAGGTTGATCTGATGCGCCACGTACTGGACCGCGAACGGCCACAGAAAATGGGGAGCAGCCGCATGGATCATGGACGTACGAGCGACGTCCATGACCATGCCAATTCGGCGCTCAGCAATCCCATTTTGCTGTGGGGAGGCCGGAAGCATGAACGTCTGGCGGATGCCCTCCGAACGACAGAAGGCTCTCAGAAGGTCGGAGGAAAACTCCCTGCCTCTCAGAAGGTGCAGACGTAGAACAGGGACCAGTCGAAACTCTCACTGAGCTGGCGACGAGCACCGCGGATCCAGTCGATCAACACCTCAGGGTACTCACCCTTGCTGCGCAAGGGGAAGACTGTGGTGTAACGCGAGTAGTCGTCAACGACCAGCAGGAAGTAGCGCTCGTGACCCTGTCCACGGACGCGGGCTGGGCCCCACACGTCCATGTGAAGAGTCTGTAGAGGGGCCTCAGTCGGAGGGAACGAGGTGGAGTGAGGAGCGGCGCGCTGCCGGCCCTCGACACAAGGAACACAGGTGGGGGCAGGCCCCGGAGGAAGGGGAGGGAGGGACCTGGGTAGACCCGAGACAAGGGCTCGGGAGGCCATACCTCGAAGACGAGGTAGGGAGGGGTGACCAAGGCGGTGGTGCCAAAGGAGAGTCTCGTGTGCCAAAGGACGACACGAGCAGGGGGCAGACGCAGGACTAGACCTGGACGCGGCAGCAAACACCTGACTGGATGCAGCTACCTGGCCAGACACAGAGACCGGAGGAGGCGCAGTAGTCAGTGTGTACAGACTCGACCCTGGCCGACGGGTGAACGTGGCCAGGTGACGGCCCGTCCGAGAGCAAGTGCAGTGGGTCACACGCTGACCTCCAGGGGTGAACTGGTCAACCCACGCGTCCTGGAGGTCAGCTCCACTCACCAAGTTCGTAGAGAACGAGGGGAGGTGGAGTCCCGACAGCAAGCCCGACGGGGCCGCAGGACACGGTAGGACAGTGGAGGAGTGTGCAAGTACTGGGCCCCCTGAGGGGTCAGCAAGGGAGACCACAACAGGCCGACTGAGCGGCGTGAGCGTGGTGCTGTCTCTAAAGAAAGAGCGCGAAGCACCAGAGTCAAGTGTGAAAGTGTGAAAGGACTCAGTAGGTGCAGTACCTGAGAGAGGAGACGGACCAGCACCTGGAGCAGCAGACGCACTAGCACCTAGAGCAGCAGCCGCACTAGCACCTAGAGCAGCAGCCACAGTGCCCGGGTCGGGCGGGACACGCAGGTAACAGTCACCCTCAGTAATATCAGCAAGAGCATACATGGCAGCAAGGATAGCATCAAAGTTTAGATCAAAGATAGGCACATTCTGCAGAAGCAGATCATGCCAATGAGGAAGCTCAACAGCGTCAGGAAACTGGGTACGCCAAGCGTCAGTCAAGCGGCCGAAGCAGCGCTGCGTGGTGTGTGGGAGACCACACACCTCCCCACTACGAGTGCCTGTGCGAAGAACGTACGTGCAGGGACCTGCACCCCCAGACCTCCCACGCCCAGCGTACCACTCACGAAGCTGCTGAACAGACGGGGTCTCACGGGTGCGCAGCTGCTGCTGACGCTGGCTGCCATTAAAGCCTCCACGCTGCGTGGCTGCACCGCGACCAGCACCACCTCCTCCGCTACCTCCACCACCGCTGCCGCCGCCTCCACCGCCTCCGCCACCGCCTCCAGGGCCTCCACTGCCGCCACCGACGCCCCCACTCCCGGGACCACCCCCACCACCACCTCCACCTCCTCCACCTCCTCCACCGCTTCCTCCACCGCCCCCTCCACCACCCTTGTTTCCCTTGCCCTTGCCAGTGCGGCGTCGCCCACTAGGGGCAGACGCAGCGCCGACCTCCTCAGTGCCAACGAGGTCGACAGCAGCAGCAGAGGCAACAGAGGGGAGAAGGGGGACAGGGGAACACCCCTCAAAGAAGGGGGTGCGACGGTCGCCGCGAGAAGCACCGACAGCTAAGATACTCTTCTCAGCTGCAACAAGGCGCTCCTCTAGCAAGTCGACAGTCAGCTCGGTGGGGCAAAGGGAGAGAAAGTGATCCCTGACTGAGGAGAGAGAGTCAGGGAGGCGGGTGACTAGGTAGTAAAGGGTGATGTACATGGGGGGGAAGTTCGTGGGAAGAAACTCAGTGGGAAGGGCAGCGCGGTAGCGAGCGTCACTAGTGCGGAGGTGAGCAACTAGGTCAGCAACTGTGGCAAAGGCGGCAAGGTCAGGAAAAAGGTACGGCAGCATGAGGCGGCTGAGGGCAGCAGTGGTAGGGGAGGAGTAGCGTGCAACTACAGCGTCGTACAGAGCCCTAGCACTCTTGTACTGACTAAAGTGCGCGCGCTCAGTAGACGGCAGGTGATTACGCACAGCAAGGCGAGCAGCAGCATCGCGCGTGAGCCACTGCGAGCGAACAGTACTGTCAGCATCAGCAGCAGGGGCAGTAGAGGCGCCAGACGTGAGATCGAACAGTGAGAGACCATCCTTGCTATTGCACTGTAGGAAAAGCTGCAGATCATCTAGCCAGACCTCAAAGTCAACAGCTCGACCCTCAGCATCAAAGGTAAGAACATTGAGACTAGCCATGACAGGAGCAGCAGCAGGCTAGCAGCAGCAGCAGTGCAACTCGGCTAAGCAGGCTAGGCCGGGCGGCTCGGCTCGGCAGGGCGGCTCGGCTCGGCAGCGCGGCGCTCTTACCAGGGCCGAGGCCGGGGCAGGGTCGGGGTAGGGCCGGGGCCGGGCCGCAAAAGATCCGGGGCCGGGTTGGGGCAGGGCCGCGACAGTGCAGGAGCAGGGCAGGGGCAGGGCCGGGGCAGAGCCGGGGCAGGGCCGGGGCAGGGCCGGAGCAGGGCCGGGACAGGGCCGGGGCAGGGTCGGAGCAGAGCCGGGGCAGGGCCGGGGCAGGGCCGGGGCAGGGTCGGAGCAGGGCCGGGACAGGGCCGGGGCGAGGCCGCGACAGGTCCGGGGCAGGGCCGGGGCCGGGCCGCGGCAGTGCAGGAGCAGGGCCGGGGCAGGGCCGAGACAGGGCCGGGGCGAGGGCCGGGGCAGGGCTGCAACAGGGCCGGAGCAGGGCCGGAGCAGGGCCGGGGCAGGGCTGCGACTGGGCCGGAGCAGGGCCGGGACAGGTTGGGGTAGGGCCGGGGAAGGGCCGGAACAGGGCCGCGACAGGGCCGAAGTAGGGCCGGGGCTGAGTCGCAGTAGGGCCGGGACAGGGCCGCGACAGGGTCGGGCGGAGCCTTACGGGGCCTGACGTGGCCTGACGGGGCCGCTAACGGGGCCTGACGGGGCCTGACGGGGCCGCAAACGGGGCCTGACGGGGCCTTACGGGGCCGTAAATGGGGCCTAACGTGGCCTTACGGGGCCTTACGGGGCCTTACGGGGCCGTAAACGGGGCCGTAGACGTGGCCTTACGGGGCCTTACGAGACCTTACAGGGCCTGACAGGGCCGTAAACGGGGCCTTACGGGGCCTTACGGGGCCGGAAACGGGGCCTGACGGGGCCTTACGGGGCCTTACGGGGCCGTAAACGGGGCCATACGGGGCCTTACGGGGCCGTAAACGGGGCCTTACGGGGCCTTATGGGGCCTCACGGGGCCGTAAACGGGGCCTAACGTGGCCTTACAGGGCCTTACGGGGCCTTACGGGGCCGTAAGCGGGGCCGTAAACGGGGCCTTACGGGGCCTAACGGGGCCTTACGGGACCTTACGGGGCCTAACGGGGCCTTACGGGGCTGCGCGGCTCCTGGCTAGGCAGCAACGCGGCTGCTTTGTGGGCCGGCGATGGCTCTAAGGGCAGGCGCAGGGGCCGCTACGGGCCTCGAAGGGCAGGCGCAACGCGCGCGGCAGGCAGGGAAGAAGAAATTTCAGTGGTGGGCCCTTTACACTAAACTCGAAACTAGCTCTATACCATGTGAGATAATTGACGAAAGAATGATTGAACTAGAAAGCAGAAGGGTACAAGTATAAAACACACAAGTGTTGTACCCTCTAAGGACTACCCCACTACACTAAACAGACTAGAGTAGACATAAGTTTGACAATTATCACAACATCCAACAGTAAGAGATATAACGCAAACAGTATACAGCATACAATCACAAAACTATAACAAAAAAAAATCAGATCGAGAACAGTATTCAGAACTGGTCAACCTGCTTTTAGTATGGGAAGGGCATTACTGCAGTTTACGATTTTATTTTCATATTATATTAAAAAAAATATGAAAATAAATTTTGGTCAAATCGATCATAAAGGGTTGCTTCGCAACCCAAAAAAGAACAAATATATTCAGTAAGAGGAACAGGTTTCAAGGCGTGCTATTGCCCCCTCTGCACCGCCCCTTCTCCCCCCCCCACCCACACTCCCCACCTCCACCTAAATGCTCCCCTACTCCCCACCCTGCAGCGTACCCCCTCTACCCCCCCACCTGTCTTTCTCCCGCCGCCCACCCCCACTCTGCCCCCGACCTTGCTACGAGCCGTGCACCCCCTTCCAGTCGCCTTTCCCCCCTCACCTGTATCCAGCGTGGGCACCACCCCAGCATCCCTTTCCCCCTGTCCTCCCAGCGCTCCACCCGTCCCTCCCCGGCACCAGACAGTTTTTCCCATCGGCACCCAACCCCTACACCCCCTGCACCTGCCCCCTGTGCCTTCTATCCCCCTCCCCCGACCCACGCCAGTCACCCCCTTTCTTAATATCCTCCATTTACACTCCCCCCTGAGGGCCGCCCCTCCCCTATTATCACCTATCTTCGTTTCCCCCACCCCCTCTGCACTGTGTGCTCCAGCCCCCCACTTTCTTTTCCTTGTTTCACAGCGCCTCCTTCACGTGCCCTCTCTCTCCTCCCGCTTTCACACCACCAGCCCCTCAACCCCTTCATCACCCACCGCAAGGCTCACGCCAGCTCGACCACTCGCTCCCTCACAAACTACCCTTCGCCCCTCCCCTTCTGCCCTCTCCCTTTCCCTCCCTCCTGGGCCCCACCTGCCCACCCTCACCTCCCGTTGACTTCTGTCCCAGCCCCCCCCCTTTGGTTGCACCACCCTTCCCCACACCCTGCTCACCCCCCGCTACACCACCTCCCCTTCCCCACCTCCCCTGCACCCTGCCACCACCTCCCCCCCCTTCTGTCCTCCAGCCCGTCCCCCCCTTGGTCCCCCATCCTCTCCAACGGCCTTTCCTCGGCACCAGACCGCCTCCCCCTCCCCCGGCCAGCCTCTACACCCCCAGTTCCTGCCCCTCGTGCCTTCCAGCCCCTCTTCCCAACCCCCCCCAGTATCCCCCTTCTCCAGTACCCTCCATATTCCCTCCCCCCTGGGGCTCGCCCCTCCGCTATTATCACCTTTCACCGGTCCCCCAATCCCCTCTGTCCCCTGTTTTCTAGTCCCCTTTTACCACAGCTCCTCTTTTCGGTGCCCTCTCTGCCCTCCCACGTTCTCACCCCCCGCCCCCCAACCTCCTCCCCCTCCCCCTCTGTACCCCCCCTTCCGTCCCCCCTTGCTCCACCTGCCCATCCCCACCTCCCGTCAAATTCTGCTCCGCCTCTCCTCACTTCGGCCCCACCACCCGGCTCACCCCTCGCTACATCACCCCTGTTCCCCCGCCTCCCCTGCAACCCGCCACCACTTCCTCTCCCCTTTTTCCCCCAGCCCGTCCCCCCCCTGATCCCCCATCCCCCCCAAGGTCTGCCCCCTTTTACCCTTTCTTGACCCCACTACGCACCCCTGTCCCCACCCTCTTCCCTTTGTTTTCCAAGCTACCCCCTCCCACCCCGGCCTCTGCCAGGGAGTTTCTACCCCCTTTGACGCCCTTTCCAGCCAATTCCAGCCACCCACATCGTCACCACCAGGCATGCCGTATCTGTGACAATGCCCCAGCACTCCGCGAGTGGGGGAAAAGCAGACCCGGGAGCCCCTCGGCGATCTGGGAGGGCCCGCATCCGAGCCACCCCCTACGCACCCACCCCCCCCACTTCAACAATCAGGAAGAAACAACCCACACCTGACCAAGCGAAAGCACTCAAACACTCTGACCCTAGTGGCCAGAAGCGTACCCTTGAAGAGGATGGAACAGAGGAACACCTAGCCCAAAGGGAAGAAACACACGAAGAAGTGCCAGCACGCTCAAAACCCCGCCCCAACCCCGCTGCCCCACCCCTGCCCACCCTCCATCCAGATGATAGCGGGGGCACCCGTGCAGGCTCAGTGGAGAGGTCCTCTAACTCACCCACTACCTCCCACTCCCAGGCCAAAAAACAAATGGAAACACCAAATCCCGCCCGCACACCCAAGCACACAGAAGTGGGGGAAGGCAGAGCCGGTGGGGAATCTGCAACAAACGCTACATGGAAAGGGGTGAGGGAGGCTATGGGGGAAAGGGCAGCAGAGGCCACACGGGAAAGGCCAGCAGAGGCTGTGGAGGAAGGGGCAGCAAAGGCTGCAGGGGAAGGGGCAGCAGGGGCTGCACGGGAAGGGGCAGCAGAGGCTGCAGGGGAAGGGGCTGCAGGGGTGACATGGGAAGGGGCAGCAGAGGCTGCAGGGAATGGGGCAGGAGGGGTTGCACGGGAAGGGGCAGCAGAGGCTGCAGAGGAAAGGGTGGCAGGGGCGGCCGAAGACGGCACCGGAGTAGCAGGGGGGGCTGCAGAGATCACAGCAAGTGAGGCTGCAGAGACAGCAGCAGGTGAGGCTGTAGAGACCGCAACAGGCGAGACTGCAGGGACCACATCAGGCGAGGCTGCAGGGACTGCAGCAGGTGGGGCTGCAGAGACCACAGCAGGCGAGGCTGCAGGGTTAGCAGCTGGTGAGACTGCAGGGCCCGCAGCAGGAGAGAATGCAGAGACCGCAGCAGGTGGGGCGACAGGGACCACAGCAGGTGAGGCTGCAGGGACTGCAGCAGGTGAGGCTGCAGAGAAAGGGGCGGTGGAGGCCGCAGAGGAAGGGGCAGCAGAGGCTGCAGAGGAAGGGGCAGCAGGGGCTGCAGAGGAAGGGGCAGCAGAGGCTGCAGAGGAAGGGGCAGCAGGGGCTGCAGAGGAAGGGGCAGCAGAGGCTGCAGAGGAAGAGGCAGCAGAGGCTGCAGAGGAAGGGGCAGCAGAGGCTGTAGGGGAAGAGGCAGCAGAGGCTGCAGGGGAAGAGGCAGCAGGGGCTGCAGGGGAAGGGGCAGCAGAGTCTGCAGGGGAAGGGGCAGCAGAGGCTGCAGGGGTAGGGGCAGCAGAGGCCTCGGCAGAGGTGGCAGAGGCCCCAGCAGGGGCGACAGTGGCCCCAGCAGGGGCGGCAGAGGACCAAGCAGGGGCGGTAGAGGCCCCAGAAGGGGCGGCGGAGGCTCCTGCAGGGGCGGCGGAAGCCACATCTGGAGCGGCAAGTGTTGGAATGGGTGCTGCCAGTGAAGTGCCAGCAGTAGGTCCGGGCGCGGTGGGACAAGGGACAGTGGGGACAGGAGAGAAGGGAACGGGTCAGCCCAAAGGGGAAGTAGACGAGGTGGTTATGACCCTTTCGGGGGGGGACGGGATGGGGGACCTGATGCTCATCGATGGCCCTCTGGCCCACTACCTCACCCTCACGGACGTGGACAACAGAGACCCCTCGCTGCCCCATGGTGAGGCCTCCCCCACTCCCCCACTCCCAAACCCCATGCTCGCAGGTGGACCAAGGAAGGAACCAGAGGAGACAAGGAAAACGAGGTTTTCGTAGGGCGCCCCCATCCACCTTTACCCCTCAGCCCACCCTCCCCCAGGAACACCCCCCCCACGCCCCCACCCCGGCAGGCACTCCCATGTGATAGGCGGGGCAGCCAAGGCCAGGGCTTTCTTAGAGGAGCCCTGCTCCCCTACCCCGGACACCCAGCCCCTACCCCCCCGCCAACCAGCCCCCCCCCCTCCCACAGCGGTACACATCTCTGGAAGTCGGGTCCAACCTCTTACTCCCACTCCACGCTCTCCACACCTCTGATCCGCCACCCCTCTCATCACCTCCCCCAGGCCGGTGGGAGCAACACACAGGGACCATGCCCATCGGCACAAAGGGTCGAGGGAGTGTGTGGTGATAGGAACACCCGGGGCAGCACCCCTCATAAGGACAAGCCCCGGAACCCACCCCCTCTTTCCACCCCTCCAACTCCACCCCCATTACCACCTTCAACGTCCCAGTCTCTAGCAGCTAATCCCAGCCGTTACACCATCCCACAATGTCGCTCTCCACCTGCACCTTTGGCTGCCCACCTCCGTGGATTGAACCAACCAGCACTTCTTGCGGCTCCACAGGGTTCAAGGGGAGATGGAAGGGGGAACCGTACCGGGCCGTCACCCCCTGCTCACGCTGTCACTCAGACCTCACTCCCCCCACCGCAGGCACAACGCCCTAACGGGAGCATAACTCCAGCCCTTCGCTTCCCACCCACAAACCCCCCTCTTTGGCCCCCTTCCCCACGAGGGGCCCCTTCGGACAGCCATTGCCCCCCCCGCACAGCCCACCCGGCCGGCCCCCACGGAGGGAGATGCCATGGAGAGGGAGGAGATGCGAATAGAGCTCCCCTCACCTGGCCAACCACCCACGCTCCCCCCACTCACTCCCACGGCCCCTCCGCCCCCCCTCCCCACACCAGCAGGCACGGACAACCAAAACCAGGTTGGCCGCTGACGGAAGAAGGGAGGCAAAGGCGGCAAGGGGTCAGCTCACCTACTCCCCCCTCCCTCCCTTCCCCCCCAGGCGCCCCTCCTCACCTCACATCCCGCTGAACCTGCACCAGGCCTTACCCCTATGGGCCAACCAACACACACACACCCCCCTCCCTTTCCCGCCCCTCCGCAGGGCCATGGCAGAAGCCGCGTGCGTCATCGTGGTGGGGGCCGACGAGAGGAGGGATGCGCCAATGGCAGACGCTACCGACTCCTCTTCTCATACCTCCCACCCCATTCAGGTCGGCGGCCCCTTTCCGCGACCCATGGACTCTAGGGAGAGCCAAGTGGGCTCTCGAGAGCAGGGACCATACCCGAGCTCGGCTCAGCCAGAACGCCCCACCCCACCCCCTACCCTGTCGGCCCTTCTTCCTTTGCCAGCAGGCAGGCAGGTTACCGAGACATCTCAGACTTGCTGGCGATACAGAGCCCCAGCAGCCCCCCGGACGCCCCCACCCTACCAGTCCCACAGGTCCGGACCCGGACGTATGCGGGGGTCACTCGCTCTGTCCCTTCTTTTACCCCCCCCACTACTCAGCTAGGCTCGTCACTCCCGTGCCCGATGGAGACGGACCTGGTTCTGAGGCCGTGTCACCTGCACCCAAATGTGGTGGCGCCTCCCCCTGTGCAGCCTGTCACCGATGCACTTCCCGTTGCACAGGAGGGCACCGGCACTGGGCTCGAGGTCTCCGCTCCTGTGGATACCCCTTCGCCTGGGGTAGCAGAGCCGCCGCGCGGACCTAACCCCGCCGAGGGAGAGGAGCACACCATGGCACGCTCTTATGGCTCACCTCCACATCCTCCTTCTTTGACTACCAGGCCAGTACGGCCGGGGGACCCGACCCCATCCAGTGTGGCACCATCTCCACCTCTGCCGACACCCCTCCTGCTCAAGGTCGGTGAGTCTTCTCCTACCCTCCTCCCAGGCGATCCTCTTGGAGCTCAGGCCGACCATAGGGTCCCTTGTACGGCCAGTTCCGACGCCACAGCCCCGATCGACCCCACCAACACGGCGACGTCACCCGACCAGGTCGTGAGATGCCCCACCTGCAGGAGCTCTCTCGCGAACCGACGCGCGCTCCAGCACCACACTCCCTTCTGCCATCCTCGGGACGCAGCTCGCAGGGCACAGGCCGTCCATGACACCACCTCGATCCTCCCTTCCCTCCCACAGCTGCGTGCGACCGGGATACCGTTCACTGACGCACTGTGGCAGACGCTCGACTCGGTCGACTGGACGGAGTACTTCTCGCCTGAGTGTATTCATGCACGCCCTCTCCGGCGTGTCCTGGAGAGGGTCCGCGGAGGATATCTCGACGTCCTCAGTGCGATCCTAGCCCGCATTGCCCAGGACCCGGAGGCGGCTGGCCCTAACTTCCTTCTCGCTGCAGCGCCGACCCTTTTCCTTGCTCCAGCGACGCCACCCGACCGCTCGCACACGGCGGCCATTGCAATGCGCATCTCCCGCTTTGGTCGAGGTGAGTGGGATGAGCTACTCTCGGATGCACTAGGCCGCCGCACACCCCTCCCTCGGCGCACAGGTCACCGCTCACGCACCGCCACCGATCCCTCCACAGCAGATGAGCGCCGCATTGCACGTTGCCTTCGTCTGGCAGCGTGCAATGAGACCTCACGGGCCTGCGCGGCTCTCGAGCACGCAGAGGCGACCCCAGATACACAGGGGACGATACAGTGCCTACGGTCGAAGCACCCCACTGCAGAGAGGCCGACCCCAGCTTGGCTGTCGGGTTTCCAGGGGTCTGCTCTTGTGCTCTCGGTGGATCACTTACGTCGCGCGATCTTCACAGCTCCACGGGGCTCCTCGGGAGGTCTGTCCGGTTGGGTCGCTGAGCACCTTCGAGACACTTTCCTAGATTTCCCTCAGAGTCTCCATTTCCTCTTGGCTGTGTACCAGCAGTGGCTCCGAGGTCGTTGCGCTCCAGCTGCGCGCTCCTTGCTAGCGTCCTCCACCCTCGTGGCTCTGGCGAAGTCGAACATGGATGTTCGGCCGATCACCATCGGCGAGGTGTTGGTCCGTATTCTTTCGCGAGCAGTCTGTCTCCAGCTACGTGACCAGATGGCGAGAGTCTTTTTGGCGTCACAGCAGTTTGGGGTGGGGGTGACGTGTGGGACAGAGGTCGTAGTTAAAGGCGCCCGCCGCGCTCTGGCTGACCACCCAGACTGGGTGGTCCTGCAGCTAGACGTGGCGAATGTCTTTAACTCTTTCCACCGATATAGGATGTTCCAGGCTCTGCAGGCCAGTCCGGAGTTTTAGTGTCTGATCCCCTTCATCGGCCTCTTCTGCGGGACGCCCTCAGACCTCCACTACAGGTCAGGTACGGGAGTGGTCACGATGCACTTGGAGCGTGGCACTCGTCAGGGAGACCCCTTCAGCCCGTTCTTGTACGCTCTGACACAGCGCCTTGCCCTGGAGCCGGTTCTGACGGAGGGGGATGTCCAGCTCTGGTCGTACACCGATGACATGTACGTGCAAGGCCCCCTAGACAGGGTGCTACACCACTTCACCGAGATCGTGAGGCGCTTGAGCGAGATGGGCCTTGCTGTCCAATCGCACAAGTGCCTCGTCTACCAGACAGAGTCCTTTCTGTTCAGGGATTTGGAGGCTTTCACAAGCCTAGGGATCGAGATCGCACGCCGAGGGCTCACCGTGACAGGCGTTCCGGTGGGCACCGTTTCATTTGTGGAGCACAGCCTCCTAGATCGTCTCGAGAGGATGGGGTGGGTGCTTCCTTGGTTTCCGAGGTTACGCCAGCCCCAGACAGCTGCCCGCCTTCTTTCGGCATGTGTGAGCACTTGTCTGCAGTACCTGTCGAGGACCGTCCCTCCCTCGCCCGCAGTGATCTCTAGTCTTACACGGTGGGACGCACGTCTGGGAGAGACTTTTCAGCAGCTTTTAGTGCCAGGGACCTGGGCTTGCCGCGAGGACGTCCGGGAGGCCGCCCTAGACCAGATCTTCCTCCCGATCCATCTCGAGGGCTTCGGAATTCGTCGCATGGCGCGCATTGCTCCGGTGAGTTACGTTTGCTCTTGGGTGCAGTGTGCACCCATCCTCTGTTCTCTTCCTGCGTGTGGCGAGGTGTTTCGACAGAGCTTTGCTTCAGGCGAGCCAGAGCAGATCGACCGAGCTCTACAGACGGTGCTAGAGGGCCTCCCACCAGACGTTCTCTCCCTCCTTCCCTCCTGGCCCTCTTGCGCTTCCGCCTCCCCCGATTCCCTTTTTGCAGGAGCGAGCCGCCTTTTGGAGGCGCATGCTTTGGAGGCCGTGCGTGCCCGTCACACCTCTCCCTTACACCTTGCCCGTTTGACTTCCCTTCAGGGCGTAGGTGCAGGAGCGTGGCTGCAGACGGTGCCCTACGCCGATCCACTGCGCATCCCGGAGGCGCAGTGGAAGGTGGCCTCATCATCCCATCTTGGTCTCCCTATCCCCCAGTTAGCCCTCACAGGTCAGTGCTCTTGTGGACAGGCGATCGACGACATGACGGTGCCCCATCACGCGGTTCGGTGCCCACGATTCGGTGTCGCCACGACCATCCACGACACGGTGAAGTTTATGCTTCGAGACTTCGCGGTCGAGGCGGGCTTCGCGGTGAAGGTGGAGGACTCTACGCTGTTCACACAATTGGAGGCGGCTCGAGCGAGACTGCAGGGACAGCCGGTGTTGGGAGAGGGGACATGGGCTGGGGGGCCGCTGGAGCAGAGGGGTGAGGTGGGACAGCCGGGTAGTGGGGGACAGTGGGGACAGCATCAGGTGCGGGATCGGGAGGCGAGAGGAGCAGGTGGGCAGAGGGGACGGCAGGGGGAGCAGACAGGCCGGGAAGGGAAAGGGGGACAGCAGAGGCAGCAGCAGGGGAGCCAGCGGAGACCGCAGGCCCAGGGCGCCGCGCCTCCGGGTTTGGGCTCGGGGGTGGGGCAGAGGCGGGAGCAGCAAGGAGCGGACGGAGGTTCAGGGGGGGCAGCAAGATCGGAAGGAGAGGACTAGGGAGTAAGAGAGGCAGCAGGGGATCGAGCAGGGGGGTTGGGATGGTTGGGGGAGGGTAAAGAAGGGGAGGGAAGAGGACAGGTGGGTGGAGGAGAGGACAGGGAGAGAGAGACGACTAGAGAGGAGGCACCGAGGGACCAGACAGGGCAGCAGCCAGCCCAGCAGTAGGGAGCAGTCGGACGCACAGGCCGTGTAGGCACCAGCTCCTCCTCCCGCATTCCAGACCTTACCTGCCGCGACGTTGGGCAGACTTTGATGGTTCTTGTGGATGTCTCTATAGCGGATCCACAGCGGGAGGGGAACGTGCAGCTGAGACGGGCGACCCCCACACAGATTGGAGTGGCAGCAGCTAGGCGGGTGCAGAAGAAGCTGCGTCACTGGGGGGCGCATTTAGAGGGGTTACAGCCAGCACCACACTTTTACGCGTGCGTGGCGGAGACTTTTGGCCTTTTGAGCGAGCAGATGCGTCAGTTTCTGGGGATCTGCGCAAAGAGGATAGCACAGCGGAGGAGGGATAGGGGAGGGGGGGATGACGGATCGGCATGGATATTTGAGGCAGGACTCACTATACGCCTCTCCGTAGCACTGCAGCGCGCGCAGGCTCAATGCATCATGCAGCATGCAGTGCCGAAGTTGGGGGGTTCCGACGACGGGTGGATGCCCGCACCAGTCCCACTGAGTGCGGGGCAGGGTACATGGCACCACATCATAGGGTGCTTCGAGACTGTAGCTGACATGCAATATTTATATGATGCTTATGTGTAAAAATCAATAGTGGCTGTGCTTGAAACGCTGTGCCTGCGCTGTCATGCGGGTTGCTGCCGTGTTTGGTCCCTTGGTGCTTCCTCCTCCTTAGTCTCTTTCCCTCTCTCCTCTTCTCTTCCCACTTCCCTTCTTCTATCCTTCTCCTCTTTTCCTACCACTCTCTTCTTTTCCCTACTACTTCTTCTTACTCCTTGACCCTTCCTTCTTCTTCTTTCTTGCCCCTCTTTCCTACAAAATATATATATCGTACTCATAGCGAATTAGTCATGCCGAAATTTCCTTTTCTCGGCAAAACCATTATATTGGGCTTGTATTTCCTATTCCCTTACTAATGAATAACTGCTCTCGCCCACCGGCGCTTAGCTTCGGAGTTCTGATGGGATCCGGCGTAGTAGCCGAGGTATGATCGTACCACGTCCATCCCGTGCCCCGACCGGTACACAACCCTTGCCCGGGCCCCCCCTTCATAGTCACACCCCCTGCCCCCTCATGCCATCTACTCCCCCTGCCCCTAACCTCCGCGTGCCCGCCCCCCCGCCGCCTCCTTTGTGGTATAGTCTAGAGTCCACTTAGGGGTCGCGGATGCCCTTGAAACCGCCTAAGCAGAATCTGATGACTTCGAACTGCCTCTGTTCAAAACGCCGTCACGATCCGCTCCAACAACATACGAGGCTAAAAATTGGATAGCAGTTAGCTTCAGGTGTCTGCTTTCCAACGGTATAATGTTTGCTTTCATCAGAGGTGTATGCGCTACGCAGTGAACAAAAACGTAATCTCGGCTGAAAACTTGTAGTTTCATTGATGCAAGAAAGAGGTGAGTACAACATTGCCTAGGGGACTCTTAAGGGGTTGGGACCATCCTGGGAACTCAGAGAAGGTTGAGTCCTAGGGGAGAAAGGCTAGAGAAGGATGGGAAACATCCTAGCTAGGTCAGCAAAGCCAACCACACTTGGATGTTCAGAGCTTTTCTCAAGGCTACCAATAGTGAGTCAAGCCAACCATGAGTCAGCTTGTCTTCCCACTTGCACCCTCTTGCAAGCTGCTTCCAGGAAGACCACACTTCTCAAAAAGAGGGTGGTAGAGTCCCACTTGACCACCTGTAATTCTTGTCTCATTCTCTGTCCCTGCACCATTGGCATGACAACAATGAAAGGGTGGCAAGGGAAATGCTGCCAACAGTGCACCATGACTACGGAACAATAACTTTTGATAGCTGTCACGTGCTGCTCCGATGCTGGGTTGTACAACTCGGATGCTCCGATGCTGATCCTTAAACTCGGTGACCACCTGCATAACATGGCAAAGTACTGCCACCCCGAATTTCAGACCAATCAAAGCTTGGTAGATGAGTCAGCAGCCGAAATGGTGAACTCGGGTGTTACCAAAAAAGAGTAACACACACTTCCGGGATGCCATAAGCCTTGAAACCAAAACATGTTGCCATGCCTTGTAATCTGCTTCAAAAATTCTGAAACTTTGAGGGTCTGAAGAACACATGTTGAAGCACCTCCCCACAAAATTCCAGAAGCTGAGCAGGCTTGTAGGCTGAATGGGAGTGCGATGACCGTGCCACTATAGTGCTTTGGCACAACACTTTGACCCTCCCCGGCCCCCTCGCCAATCCCCACCGCCCGCCATTCGTTCCTCCCCGCCCGTGCCCTCCCCTCGTTTACCTTCTCCTCCCCCCTCCCCTCCTCCGCTGCACGCGTCTTCCTTTCCCTTGCCAACCTACTCCACTCCCTGCCCCTCCTCAATCCGCACCCTGCCCCTCGTTTCTCGGCCCCCTGCGCTTGGTTTCTCCCCTCCCAGCCCCTCGCTGCCAATCTTCGCTCCCCTCCTCCCCCCTCTCCCCGCTCCCCCACTCTCCCCCCCTTGTCCCTGGCTTCCCACCTCCCTGCCCCATGTTTCCCCCCTCTGTGTGCTCAGCCTCTCCCCTTCCTGCCTCTCCCTCCTCCCCGCCCTGCCCCTCATTTTCCGCTCCCCCACGCCCGGTTTCTCCCCTCCCTGCACCTCCCTTTCTTTCTCCGTGCCTCTCCCTTGTTCCCTCCCTGCCCCTGGCCGCCCATGCCCCTGTCCTTGGTTTCTCCCCTCCCTGCCCCAAGTTTCTTCCCTCCCTGACCTCACCTTCTACCCTCTCTGCCCCTCCTTTGTTTTCCCCACACCCATCGCTTCTCCCCTCCCTGCCCTTGATTTCCCGCACCCCTGCCCTTGTTTCCTACCATCCACGCCCCCCGTTTCTGCCCTTTGTACGTTCAGCCTCTTCCCTCCCTGCCCCTCCCTTCCTCCCCCCCTGCCCTGTGCTTTCCCCCTTGCTACGCTTCCTTCTCCCCCTCCCTGCTGCCCTCTCACCACCATCAGCCCATCCCCACCCCCAGCCCCCCTCCCCACCTTCCCCCCCCTCCTCCCCCACCCACCCCCCTCTCTCTCTCTCTCTCTCTCTCTCTCTCTCTCTCTCTCTCTCTCTCTCTCTCTCTCTCTCTCTTTCCCCTCCCCCCCCACCCCCCACCCACATCCTCCCATTCTGCCCCTCCCTGCCCCTGTTCCACCCCCTCGCACGCCCCTCGCCTCCCACCTCCGTGCAACTGGTTTCCCCCCTGTGGTGCTTCCCTTGCATCGCTCGCCCCTCTGCTCACCCGCTGCCCGCCCCTTTTCCTTGCCCTCCGCTGGCCCAGCCCCTGCCCGTTGCTGTCCCTCCCCTTGCCCCCTCAACTCCCCTGCCCCCCGTACACCCCACTCCCATCGAACCGCCCCCGCCCTCCCCCGGCTGCCCGGTTTCGCTCTCCACCCCCCTGACCGTGTGCGGCTTCCAACCGCCCAACGGTGGTGCGCACGGCGCGTTTCTTCGCACGGGCAAGCCTCCCCGGGGGGCCCCCACCCCGCTGAGTCGTTGTTCGGGCAAAAAAACCGAAACAAAAATATCGGACGCGCTCAAAATCGTCCTTTTTTTTCCCGCTTGCCCCACCCCGGCACATGCCGAGCAACGGGCATTTACACGGTGGGACGCACGCCTGGGAGAGACTTTTCAGCAGCTTTTAGCGCCAGGGACCTGGGCTTGTCGTGAGGACGTCCGGGAGGCCGCCCTAGACCAGATCTTCCTTCCGATCCGTCTCGGGGGCTTCGGCATTCGTCGCATGGCGCGCATTGCTCCGGTGAGTTACGTGTGCTCTTGGGAGCAGTGTGCACCGATTATCTGTTCTCTCCCTGCGTGTGGCGAGGTGTTTTGACAGAGCTTCGCTTCAGGTGAGCCAGAGCAGATCAACCGAGCTCTGAAGACGGCGCTAGAGAGCCTCCCACCGGTCGTTTTCTCCCTCCTTCCCTCCTGGCCCTCTTGCGCTTCCGCCTCCCCCGATTCCATTTTTCCAGGAGCGAGCCGACTTCTGGAGATGCATGCTTTGGAGGCCGTGCGTGCCTGTCACACCTCTCCCTTATACCTTGCCCGTTCGACTTCCCTTCAGGGCGTAGGTGCAGGAGCGTGGCTGCAGTCGGTGCCGTACGCCGATCCACTGCGCATCCCGGAGGCGCAGTGGCAGGTGGCCTCATCATCCCGTCTTGGTCTCCCTATCCCCCAGTTAGCCCTCACAGGTCAGTGCTCTTGTGGACAGGCGATCGACGACATGACGGTGCCCCATCACGCGGTTCGGTGCCCACGATTCGGCGTCGCCACGACCATCCACGACACGGTGAAGTTTATGCTTCGAGACTTCGCGGTCGAGGCGGGCTTCGCGGTGAAGGTGGAGGACTCTACGCTGTTCACACAGTTGGAGGCGGCTCGAGCGAGACTGCAGGGACAGCCGGTGGTGGGAGAGGGGACACGGGCTGGGGGGCCGCTGGAGCAGAGGGGCGAGGTGGGACAGCCGGGTAGTGGGGGACAGTGGGGACAGCATCAGCTGCGGGGTCGGGTGGCGAGAGGAGCAGGTGGGCAGAGGGGACAGCAGGGGGAGCAGACAGGCCGGGACGGAGAGGGGGGACTGCAGAGGCAGCAGCAGGGGAGCCAGCGGAGACCGCAGGCCCAGGGCGCTGCGCCTCCGGGCTTGAGCTCGGGGGTGGGGCAGGGGCGGGAGCAGCAAGGAACGGACGGAGGTACAGGGGGGGCAGCAGGATCGGGAGGAGAGGACCAGGGAGTGAGAGAGGCAGCAGGGGATCGAGCAGGGGGGTTGGGAGGGTTGGGGGAGGGTAGAGAAGTGGAGGGGAGAGGACAGGTGGGTGGAGGAGAGGACAGGGGGAGAGAGACGACTAGAGAGGAGGCACCGAGGGACCAGACAGGGCAGCAGCCAGGCCAGCAGCAGGGACCAGTCGGACGCACAGGCCATGTAGGCACCACCTCCTCCTCCCGCATTGCAGACCTTACCTGCCGCGACGTTGGGCAGACGTTGATGGTTCTTGTGGATGTCTCTATAGCGGATCCACAGCGGGAGGGGAACGTGCAGCTGAGACGGGCGACCCCCACACAGATTGGAGTGGCAGCAGCTAGGCCGGTGCAGGAGAAGCTGCGTCACTGGGGGCCGCACTTAGAGGGGTTACAGCCAGCACCACACTTTTACGCGTGCGTGGCTGAGACATTTGGCCATTTGAGCGAGCCACTGCGTCAGTTTTTGGGGATCTGCGCAAAGAGGATAGCACAGCGGAGGAGGGATAGGGGAGCGGGGGATGACGGATCGGCACGGATATTTGAGGCAGGACTCACTACCCGCCTCTCCATGGCACTGCAGCGCGCGCAGGCTCAATGCATCATCCAGCATGCAGTGCGGCAGTTGGGGTGTTCCGACGACAGGTGGATGCCCACACCAGTCCCACTGAGTGCGGGGCAGGGTACATGGCACCACATCACAGGGTGCTTCGAGACTGTAGCTGACATGCAATATATATATGATGCTTTTGTGTAAAAAACGATAGTGGCTGTGCTTGAAACGCTGTGCCTGCGCTGTCATGCGGGTTGCTGCCGTGTTTGGTCCCTTGGTGCTTCCTCCTCCTTAGTCTCTTTCCCTCTCTCCTCTTCTCTTTCCACCTCCCTCTTTCATTTCCCTTCTTCTATCCTTCTCCTCTCTTCCTACCACTCTCTTCTTTTCCCTACCACTTATTCTCACTCCTTGACCATTCCTTCTTTTTCTTTCTTTACCCTCTTTCCTACAAAATATATACACTGTCCTCATAGCGAATTAGTCGTGCCGAAATTTCCTATTCTCGGCAAAACCATTATATTCGGCTTGTATTTCCTTTTCCCTTATTAACCAATAACTGCTCTCGCCCACCGGCGCTTAGCTTCGGAGTTCTGATGGGATCCGGCGTAGTAGCCGATGTATGATCGTACCACGTCCATCCCGTGCCTCGTCTGGTACACACCCCTTGCCCGGGCCCCCCCTTCATAGTCACACCCCTTGCCCCCTCATGCCATCTGCTCCCCCTGCCCCTAACCTCCGCGTGCCCGCCCCCTCGCCGCCTCCTTTGACCCTCCCTGCCCCCCTCGCCGTTCCCCACCGCCCACCATTCGTTCCTCCCCGCCCGTGGCCTCCCCTCGTTTACCTTCTCCTCCCACCTCCCCTCCTCCGCTGCACGCGTCTTCCTTCCCCTCGCCAACCTACTCTACTCCCTGCCCCTCCTCAATCCCCACCCTGCCCCTCGTTTCTCGGCCCCCTGCGCTTGGTTTCTCCCCTCCCTGCCCCTCGCTGCCTTTCTCCACTCCCATCCTCCCCCCTCTCCCCGCTCCCCCACTCTCCCCCCCTTGTCCTTGGCTTCCCACCTCCCTGCCCCATGTTTCCCCCCTCTGTGCGCTTAGCCTCTCCCCTCCCTGCCTCTCCCTCCTCCCCGCCCTGCCCCTCATTTTCTGCTCCCCCACCCCCGGTTTCTCCCCTCGCTGCACCTCCCTTTCTTTCACCGTGCCTCTCCCTTGTTCCCTCCCTGCCCCTGGCCGCCCATGCCCCTGTCCTTGGTTTCTCCTCTCCCTGCCCCACGTTTCTTCCCTCCCTGACCTCACCTTGTACCCTCTCTCCCACTGCCCACCCCTACTCTGCCCCCCACCTTTCTACGAGCCGTGCACCCCCTTCCAGTCGCCTTTTCCCCCTCACCTATCTCCAGCGTGGGCACCACCCGAGCATCCCTTTCCCCCTGTCCTCCCAGCGCTCCACCCGTCCTTCCCAAGCACCAGACAGCTTTTCCCAACCTCTACACCCCCTGCACCTGCCCCCTGTGCCTTCTAGCCCCCTCCCCCGACCCACGCCAGTCACCCCCTTTCTTAATATCCTCCACTTACACTCCCCCTGGGGGCCGCCCCTCCCCTATTATCACCTATCTTCGTTTCCCCCACCCCCTCTGTACTTTGTGCTCCAGCCCCCCACATTCTTCTCCTTGTTCCACAGCACCTCCTTCCGGTGCCCTCTCTGCCCTCCCGCTTTCACACCACCCGCCCCTCAACCCCTTCATCACCCACCGCAAGGCTCACGCCAGCTCGACGACTCGTTCCCTCACCAACTACCCTTCGCCCCTCCCCCTCTGCCCTCCCCCTTTCCCTCCCTCCTGGGCCCCACCTGCCCACCCCCACCTCCCGTTGACTTCTCTCCTGGCCCCCCTCATTCGGTTGCACCACGCTTCCCCACACCCTGCTCACCCCTCGCTACATCACCTCCCCTCCCCCACCTCCCCTGCACCCTGCCACCACTCCCCCCCCCCCCCCCCTTCTGTCCTCCAGCCCGTCCCCCCCTTGGTCCCCCATCCTCTCCAACGGCCTTTCCTCGGCACCAGACCGCCTCCCCCTACCCCAGCCAACCTTTACACCCCCAGTTCCTGCCCTTTGTGCCTTCCAGCCCCTCTCCCCAACCCCCCCCAGTCCCCCCCTTCTCCAGTACCCTCCATATTCCCTCCCCCCGGGGGCTCGCCCCTCCGCTATTATCACCTTTCACCGGTCCCCCAATCCCCCCCGTCCCCAGTTTTCTAGCCCCCCATTTTAGTCTGCATTTACCACAGCTACTCTTTTCGGTGCCCTCTCTGCCCTCCCACGTTCTCACTCCCCGCCCCCAACCTCCTCACTACCCGCTACCAGGCTCACGCCAGTTCTACCACCCTCCCCCTCCCCCTCTGTCCCCCCCCCTTCCTTCCCCCCTTTTCTCCACCTGCCCATCCCCACCTCCCGTTGAATACTACTCCGCCCCTCCCCACTTCGGCCCCACCACCCGGCTCACCCCTCGCTACATCACCCCTGCTCCCCCACCTCCCCTGCAACCCACCACCACTTCCTCTTCCCTTTGTCACCCAGCCCGTCCCCCCCTTGGTCCCCCATCCCCCCCAACGGTCTGCCCCCTGTTACCCTCTCTTGACCCCACTACGCACCCCTGTCCCCACCCTCTTCCCTTTGTTTTCCAAGCTACCCCCTCCCACCCTGGCCTCTGCCAGGGGTTTTCTATCCCCTTTGACGCCCATTCCAGCCAATTCCAGCCACCCACATCGCCACCACCAGGCATGCCGTATCTGTGACAATGCCCCAGCACTCCGCGAGTGGGGGAAAAGCAGACCCGGGAGCCCCTCGGCGATCTGGGAGGGCCCGCATCCGAGCCACCCCCTACGCACCCACCCCCCCCACTTCAACAATCAGGAAGAAACAACCCACACCTGACCAAGCGAAAGCACTCAAACACTCTGACCCTAGGGGCCAGAAGCGTACCCTTGAAGAGTATGGAACAGAGGAACACCTAGCCCAAAGGGAAGAAACACACGAAGAAGTGCCAGCACGCTCAAAACCCTGCCCCAACCCCGCTGCCCCACCCCTGCCCACCCTCCATCCAGATGATAGGGGGGGCACCCGTGCACGCTCAGTGGAGAGGTCCTCCAACCCACCCACTACCTCCCACTCCCAGGCCAAAAAACAAATGGAAACACCAAATCCCGCCCACACACCCAAGCACACAGAAGTGGGGGAGGGCAGAGCCGGTGGGGAATCTGCGACAAACGCTACAGGGAAAGGGGTGAGTGAGGCTATGGGGGAAAGGGAAGGCGCTACAGAGGCCGCACGGGAAGGATCAGCAGAGGCTGTGGAGGAAGGGGAAGCAAAGGCTGCAGGGCGAGGGGCAGCAGGGGCTGCACGGGAAGGGGCAGCAGAGGCTGCAGGGGAAGGGGCTGCAGGGGCGGCATGGGAAGGGGCAGCAGAGGCTGCAGGGGAAGGGGCAGCAGGGGTTGCACGGGAAGGGGCAGCAGAGGCTGCAGAGGAAAGGGTGGCAGGGGCTGCCGAAGACGGCACCGGAGTAGCAGGTAGGGCTGCAGAGACCACAGCAAGTGAGGCTGCAGGGACAGCAGCAGGTGAGGCTGTAGAGACCGCAACAGGCGAGACTGCAGGGACCACATCAGGCGAGGCTGCAGGGACTGCAGCAGGGGGGGCTGCAGGGACCACAGCATGCGAGACTGCAGGGTTAGCTGCTGGTGAGGTTGCAGGGACCACAGCAGAAGAGAATGCAGAGACCGCAGCAGGTGGGGCGACAGGGACCACAGCAGGTGAGGCTACAGGGAGTGCAGCAGGTGAGGCTGCAGAGGAAGGGGCAGCGGAGGCCGCAGAGGAAGGGGCAGCAGAGGCTGCAGAGGAAGGGGCAGCAGAGGCGGCAGAGGAAGGGGTAGCAGGGGCTGCAGAGGAAGGGGCAGCAGAGGCTGCAGAGGAAGGGCCAGCAGGGGCTGCAGAGGAAGGGGCAGCAGAGGCTGCGGAGGAAGGGGCAGCGGAGGCGGCAGAGGAAGGGGAGGTAAAGGCTGCAGAGGAAGGGGCAGCACAGGTTGCAGAGGAAGGGGCAGCAGGGGCTGCAGAGAAAGGGGCAGCAGAGGCTGCAGAGGAAGGGGCAGCAGAGGCTGCAGGGGAAGGGGAAGAGGTGTTATAGTCACAATAGGCTTGAATGTGCATAAAAACGAAAGATAGAGTGAACAGACGGATTTCTGCACAGCGGCTTCAAACGTTGATAGCGTTCTGCTCACAACTGCAAATTACTTGATTCAAATTGGATCTAGAGCTTTTTAACGTCGCCTACAATAGGCAATTTAGATTGCACGATTTCATAAAGAATTGACGACACAGCGTTGGTTTGAACGAACAGTAGTATGGCAGCCACTATGGTCTTAGAACACAAATTAAGAAGAGTTACGAGTTGGGAATGACTCCCAGCTCCTACAAACCCCAAGAGCCGAGGTAAAGTGATGTGGAACAGTGCCACACTGTCCCCATCCACAAAGGGTCTCGAAACTACCCTCCACAAGGGCCTACACCAAGAGAAATGTTACACTACACAAAGTAATGCAATTATTCTCACTATCTTAAAGTTTACCCTTTTGGAGAGCTTCGTAATCACTTGAATCTTGAAACCAAGGCTCTGGTTCTTCATGATAAATTATTCCTTGAGTTCTTGGAATTCTGCTGCGCACACCTGCAACACGCCGAACGTTCCACACACGACAAAATAGAAAACCGCACACGACACGTGACTCGCTATTGACTCGACACACACATTCAAAACCATGCCTCATCATTCACACACTATTATAAGCATCAAATATATATTATCTCATGCCCTCATACCATTCCATGCACAAACGCATGCACGCACACGGACAACAAGCCGAATGCAAACCGTAGGGTTGCACCAACAAACTCCCCCTCGGATTGTTGGCCTTAGGAACTTGATCTCTCAGTTCAGAGCCATCCCAGCCAGCTTGCAACACTTCATATGCTGCTGCTCCACCAGCCTCTTGGTCATCATGTCAGCTGGCTGCCCCGTCGCCTTCACGTAGCGCAACTCAACTTCACCCGCGGCCACCATGCTCCTCGTCCAATGCCACTTCACCCTCATGTGCTTCGTGAGGCCATGCAACACAGGGTTCTTAGCAAGAGCAATGGCACCCTGGCTGTCACATTAGAGTGGGGTAGGTCCTTGCTGCTCCTCCCCCAATTCAGCCAACAAACGCCGCTGCCACACAATCTCCCGTACGGCACGGAAGAGTGCCATGTACTCGGACTCCACCCAGCTCAATGCTTGATCCACCTGCTTCTTGCTCTCCCGAGCATTTGGGCCTCCACCAACACAGCAAATGAACCCTCCAACACTTGTCATGTCCTCTGGTTCCGATGCATAAGAAGCATCCGAGAATGCGGTGAGGAACAAACGCCCGGGTTCAACACCATCCGCGCCCTTTTGGCGCCTTTGCACCGCCGCCGAGTATTGCAGCCCAACGGTCGGTGTTTGGCCAAGATACTTGGCCACCCTCATTCCAGCAGCTACCTGCTCCTCATTAGGGTATTGAACAACCCTAGCCAACTGTCCGGTTGCAAAGGCGACGTCCGGTCGGGTGTTTACCGCCGCGTACATGAGGCTGCCCACCAACGAGTGAAAACGGCGCCTCTCCTCTTCACCAAAGCTCTCCTCCTCTGGTCCCTTCACACACTTGAACCTAGAGGGAAAGGGTGTAGCCACATGGCCTTCACTCTGCCCAAAGTTGGCAGCCAATGCCTCCAGGTACTTCCGTTGATGCACCCGCATGCACCGCTTCTCCACATCTCGTTCGATGTGGAGCCCAAGGTAGAAGCTCACGTCACCAAGGGCCTTGCACTTGAACTTGTCTTGAAGCTTCAGCATCACCTCCTTCACAAGATCAGAGGAGGGTGAGAAAATTAGGACATCATCAACGTACACAACCATGAACCTCCTCTGCTCCCCCTCGCCAAGCATGAACAATGAGTGATCGGCCGTTGAGGGAGTGAAGCCGATCTCCTCTAAAACTCCACGCAGCTTCAAGTACCACTGCCTAGGGGCCTGCTTCAGTCCATAAAAGGCCTTCTTCAGCTTCAAAACTCTGCCACTACCATCATCAAACCCCTCTGGCTGCGCCATGAAAATCTCTTCCTCTAGGACGCCGTTGAGGAATGCGGTTGTCACGTCCATTTGTTTCACCACCCATCCTTTGATGGCAGCACCCGCGAGTAGGGTTCTCAGCGTCGTCGGCTTCACCACAGGAGCAAACAACTCCTTATAGTCCACCTTCTCCTTCTGCTGGTACCCCTTGGCCACAAGCCTAGACTTGTAGCGCTCAATTTTGCCGTCGGCGTCGGACTTGATCTTGAAGAGCCACTTGGACGTAATCGCCTTACGCCCCTCCGGTAGTTCCACCAATTCCCACGTGCCGTTCTCCTCGATGCTCTTCAGCTCAATCTCCATTGCCTTCTTCCACTCCTCAGCATCACTACTCTCCAAGGCCTCCTTGAGAGTTGCTGGTTCCCCCGGCATCTCCACCGGAGAGAAGAACGCGAAGGCACACTCCTCGTAGTCACTCTCCTCGTCATCTCCAACTATAAGTGCCGCTCCGGCCAAGGCTGACTTGGCTGGCTTTCCCAGTGCCTCATAGGTCAGCCTATTTGGGGCTTGGATTCTCCTTTTGCCCCCCTTCCTTCCTCCTCAGCTGCAGGGACATGAAGGCTCTCATGGCGTTGCTGCGGCGTGACTCGGATCCGTGGAGCACTCGTAGTGCGAGAAGGAAGTGTCGGTGCACGCTCGCTCACTTGCTGCACCTCCTCCTCTTCTTCCTCTGCATCCTTGGCTTCTTCTCCCCCATTCACAAGGGAAGATTGACTTGTGGTGGTGGTGCCGCTGCTCAGCTCCAAAGGCAGCTCCACATGCTCCAAACCGGAACTCTTCACCTCCCCAAACCGCATGACTATCTTCGCCTCATTCTCCGCCTTCCAATCCTTGTACATCAGATTCTCCATGAATTTGCAGTCCCTGCTCACCAAGAATTTCTTTGTGAATGGGTCCCAAAGAAGCCACCCCTTGCTGTTTTGAGCCATGCCCAAGTGCACAGCCCATATCGCCTTGGCACCGAGCTTGTTGTGCCGAAGATGCTTAGGCACGAGCGCCATGCACATGCACCCGAACACCCGAAGCATATCCACCTTTGGCTTCCTTCCAATCCACTCCACATAGGGCACCCATTTGTCTGCTCCCACATGAGTCAAAGCTCTATTCTTGGCCACACACGCACTCCGCACCGCATCAGGCTAGAAATAGTTGGGTAGCCCGGCTTCACTGAGCAACCCGCGCGCCGTCTCCGTGATTGTCCGGTTTGCACGCTCGGCGATGCCGTTCATTGCAGGGGAGTATGGCATGGTAAGGGAGTGCCTTATTGCGAATTGCCTTCACTAACCGATCATGTTGCCGCTCCACCATCGGGAACCAACCGGTCTTCACCGTTTCAGCCACGTCACTCTTCTTGGACAGCACGTACACCCAAGTCATGCGAGTGTAGACGTCCACAATGGTGAGAAAGTACTCAGCTCCAGCAGCTCCAAGCTTCAGGGGGCCCACCACGTCCATCACCACCTCATCAAGTGGTGCCTTAGCCGTTGCCTCCGAACTAGAGAACGGGTAACGGGTGAACTTGGCTTGCATGCACGTCGGGCAGCCAAGTACCTCATCGGGCTCCCCCTTGACACGTATGCCAGCAACCATCTCATTCTTCACTAGCTGCTGCAAGATGGGCAGGGCCACATGCCCCATTCGGCGATGCAAGGTGAGCCAATCACACTCCCCCGTAGCCGAAGTCGGATTGGAGAATGCCGCACTCGCAATAGTGCCCCACATGCTCTCTCCGTACTCCTCCTCCGCTGCTGCCTTGGGGTTTTCCTCACCCTTGTGCTGCTCCTTGGCTGCTGCACCACTCTCCTCGTGTTCACCGAGCTTGCTGGTCCCTCCAAGATTGCACTTCCTAGACTTAATCTCCTTAGCGCGACCGTTCGCGCCATCGCCGCTACCAACCGCTTCACCCTTGGTGCTGATGCTTGCTGCCACTTGCCTCTCCTTAGGCATGGGGACCACAGGGATCTGCCACATCTCGTTGTAGACATCCCTATCCTTGTGAAGGTCCCAAAGAATCCGCTCGCCAAGCCTCGCGGTGTAGGTCTTAGCTCCCTTCGAGCTCGTGTCCATGCCGGCCTTTTGCAACCGCCGCACGGAAATTAGGTTGGCAGCAAGGTTGGGCACCCAAAGCACGTTTTTGAGGCCCACCATCTTCCCATCAGCACCCTTGAACATGGCCTTGCCCATGCCTTTCACCTCTGCTCGCTGCCCCAAAGCCGATGTCACATGCTTCACCGATGACGGCTCAAGTTCGGTGAGCAAGTCCGCACGAGGTGTCATGCTATAGGTAGCGCCGCTATCGATCACCCAATAGTCCAGGGAGTGTAGGGTAACCTTCCCCACAGATGCTAGCTCCTCAAAGCCTTCATCCTTCTCTGGACCAGCCGGTGCTTGCGTGGACACGAAGAAGAATTGACCCGGAAAGCGATCGTCCCTCGACTCGCTCTCGTTGCCGGCACTCTTCATACTTGCAGCACCACCTCCGCGACCGCCATGGCCTCCACGGCCTCTTCCTCTCCCTCCTCCTGCTCCTCTACCCTCTTGGCCTTGAGCAGGAGTCCATCCATCAAGGAGTTTGTAGCAATCGCGCCACATATGTCCGCTCTTGTGACAATAGTGGCACTCGCTGTCGAATCGGCCGCGACCGCGTCCATAGCTCTTGTTGTCGCTGCCGTATCCGCCACTCCCGCGGCCTCCATTGAAGTTGTTGCTGCCAAATCTGCCTCCCCCTCGTCCTCTGCCCCTTCCACGGCCATACCCTCGGCCGATGCTTGCTGCCCCGGCGCCATCCGCACTCGCCAACTCACGGCGGCGGAAGTCCTCTTGAAGGATCGCTCGCTTCACGTCTTCAAGCGAGAGGCGGGGCAAGTCACGATTGAGGTTGATGATGAGTGAGGACCATGACTCTGGGAGTAAGGCCAGCAACTTGGTCTTCTTTCGGAGCTCACTGTAGTTCAAATCAGCTCCCTCAAGCCGCGTCAACAAGTCAAAGAATTTCTGCACCCCTTCTTCAACCGCTTCATCTTCTTCAATTCGTAGGGCCGCCATTTGCCGTTCCAACACCACCGCTACCGCCGCTGTTGCAGGAGCGTGTACACCCTTGAGAGCAGCCCATGCCTTTGGTCCCTTCTCTGGTTCACGCTGGAATGGCTTGATGTGACGGATCTGGCTGCTCCCCAACGCTTGCCCAAGTAGGAGATAGCCTTGTGCGCTCTTGCGCACCCACGGGCTCTTCTCCGGGTCGTTCTCGGGGCGCTTCTCCGTTCCTTCCATCACCTCCAGCAGGCCATAGTGGTCAAATACATTCTCCATTCTGAAGGACCATTCAGCGATGTTGTCGCCATTGAACTTGTCAAGCCCAAACACCCTAGGCTCATCCCTAGGTGGGCCAAGACTTGGTTGCACGGGCGCCATGGCGGAATCACGGGGTTGGCCTTGAGCTTGGGCTTCTCCACTGCCACCAGCACCTCTGCCACCCCTTTCCTCAGGTCCAGCCATTGTCAAAACTGCTCCAAGGGTCTCTGATACCACTTGTTATAGTCACAATAGGCTTGAATGTGCCTAAAAACGAAAGATAGAGTGCACAGACGGATTTCTGCACAGCGGCTTCAAACATTGATAGCGTTCTGTTCACAGCTTCAAATGACTTGATTCAAATTGGATCTGGAGTTTTTTTACGTCGCCTACAATAGGCAATTTAGATTGCACGATTTCATAAAGAATTGGCGACACATCTTTGGTTTGAACGAACAGTAGTATGGCAGCCACTATGGTCTTAGAACACAAATTAGGAAGAGTTACGAGTTGGGAATGACTCCCAGCTCCTACAAACCCCGAGAGCTGAGGTAAAGTGATGTGGAACAGTGCCACACTGTCCCCATCCACAAAGGGTCTCGAAACTACCCTCCACAAGGGCCTACACCAAGAGAAATATTACACTACACAAAGTAATGCAATTATTCTCACTATCTTAAAGTTTACCCTTTTGGAGAGCTTTGAAATCACTTGAATCTTGAAACCAAGGCTCTGGTTCTTCAAGATAAATTCTTCCTTGAGTTCTTGGAATTCTGCTGTGCACACCTGCGACACGCCGAACGTTCCACACACGACAAAATAGAAAACCGCACACGACAAGAGGCAGTGGGGACAGGAGAGAAGGGAACGGGTCGGCCCAAGGGAGAAGTAGAGGAGGTGGTTATGACCCTTTTGGGGGGGGGCGGGATGGGGGACCTGATGTGTCACCATCTCCACCTCTGCCGACACCCCTCCTGCACGAGGTCCGTGAGTCTTCTCCTCCCCTCCTCCCAGGCGATCCTCTTGGAGCTCAGGCCAACCATAGGGTCCCTTGTATAGCCAGTTCCGACGCCACAGCCCCGATCGACCCCACCGACACGGCGACGTCACTCGACCAGGTCGTGAGATGCCCCACCTGCAGGAGCTCTCTCGCGAACCAACGCGCGCTTCAGCACCACACTCCCTTCTGCCATCCTGCGGGACGCAGCTCGCAGGGCACAGGCCGTCCATGACACCACCTTGATCCTCCCTTCCCTCCCACAGCCGCGTGCGACCGGGATACAGTTCACAGACACACAGTGGCAGACGCTCGACTCGATGGATTGGACAGAGTACTTCTCGCCTGAGCGCATTCATGCACGCCCTCTCCGGCGTGTCCTGGAGAGGGTCCGCGTAGGATATCTTGACGTCCTCAGTGCGATCCTAGCCCGCATTGCCCAGGACCTGGAGGTTGCTGGCCCTACCTTCCTTCTCGCTGCAGCTCCGACCCTTTTCCTTGCTCCAGCGACGCCACCCGACCGCTCGCACACGGCGGCCATTGCAACGCGCATCTCCCGCTTTGGTCGAGGTGAGTGGGATGAGCTACTCTCGGATGCACTAGGCCGCCGCACACCCCTCCCTCGGCGCACAGGTCACCCCTCACGCACCGCCACCGATCCCTCCACAGCAGATGAGTGCCGCATTGCACGTTGCCTTCGTCTGGCAGCGTGCAATGAGACCTCACGGGCCTGGGCGGCTCTTGAGTACGCGGAGGCAACCCCAGATACACAGGGGACGATACAGTGCCTACGGTTGAAGCACCCCACTGCAGAGAGGCCGACCCCAGCTTGGCTGTCGGGTTTCCAGGGGGTCTGCTCTTGAGCTCTCGGTTGATCACTTACGTCGCGCGATCTTCGCAGCTCCACGGGGCTCCTCGGGAGGTCCGTCCGGTTGGGTCGCTGAGCACCTTCGAGACACTTTCCTGGCTTTCCCTCAGTGTCTCCATTTCCTCCTGGCTATGCACCAGCAATGACTCTGAGGTCGTTGCGCTCCAGCTGCACGCTCCTTGCTAGCGTCCTCCACCCTCGTGGCTCTGGCGAAGTCGAACATGGATGTTCGGCCGATCGCCATCTGCGAGGTGTTGGTCCGTATTCTTTCGCGAGCAGTCTGTCTCCAGCTACGTGACCAGATGGCGAGAGTCTTTTTGGCGTCACAGCAGTTAGGGGTGGGGGTGACGTGCGGGACAGAGGTCGTAGTTAAAGGCGTCCGCCGCGCTCTGGCTGACCACCCAGACTGGGTGGTCCTGCAGCTAGACGTGGCGAATGCCTTTAACTCTTTCCACCGAGATAGGATGTTCCAGGCTCTGCAGGCCAGTCCGGAGTTTCAGTGTCTGATCCCCTTCATCGGCCTCTTCTGCGGGACGCCCTCGGACCTCCACTACAGGTCAGGTACGGGAGTGGTCATGATGCACTCGGAGCGTGGCACTCCTCAGGGAGACCCCCTCAGCCCCTTCTTGTACACTCTGACACAGCGCCTTGTCCTGGAGCCGATTCTGACGGAGGGGGATGTCCAGCTCTGGTCGTACGCCGATGACATGTACGTGCTAGGCCCCCCAAACAGGGTGCTACACCACTTCACCGAGATCGTGAGGCGCTTGAGCGAGATAGGCCTTGCTGTCCAATTGAGAAAGTGCCTCGTCTACTAGACAGAGTGTCTTTCAGTTCAGGAATTTGGAGGCTTTCACGAGCCTAGGGATCGAGATCGCACGCCGAGGGCTCACCGTGATAGGCGTTCCGGTGGGTACCGTTTCGTTTGTGGAGCACAGCCTCCTAGATCGTCTCGAGAGGATGGGGCGGGTGCTTCCTTGGTTTCCGAAGTTACGCCAGCCCCAGACAGCTGCCCGCCTTCTTTTGGCATGTGTGAGCACTCGTCCGCAGTACCTGTCGAGGACCGTCCCTCCCTCGCCCGCAGTGATCTCTAGTCTTACACGGTGGGACGAACGTCTGGGAGAGACTTTTCAGCAGCTTTTAGCGCCAGGGACCTGGGCTTGCCGCGAGGACGTCCGGGAGGCCGCCCTAGACCAGATCTTCCTCCCGATCCGTCTCGAAAGCTTCGGCATTCGTCGCATGGCGCGCATTGCTCCGGTGAGTTACGTGTGCTCTTGGGTGCAGTGTGCACCCATCCTCTGTTCTCTCCCTGCGTGTGGCGAGGTGTTTCGACAGAGCTTTGCTTCAGGTGAGCCAGAGCAGATCGACCGAGCTCTGCAGACGGCGCTAGAGGGCCTCCCACCAGACGTTCTCTCCCTCCTTCCCTCCTGGCCCTCTTGCGCTTCCGCCTCCCCCGATTCCCTTTTTGCAGGAGCGAGCCGCCTTCTGGAGGCGCATGCTCTGGAGGCCGTGCGTGCCCGTCACACCTCTCCCTTACACCTTGCCCGTTTGACTTCCCTTCAGGGCGTAGGTGCAGGAGCATGGCTGCAGTCGGTGCCTTACGCCGATCCACTGCGCATCCCAGAGGCGCAGTGGCAGGTGGCTTCATCATCCCGTCTTGGTCTCCCTATCCCCCAGTTAGCCCGTGCAAGTCAGTGCTCTTGTGGACTGGCGATCGAAGACATGACGGTGCCTCATCACGCGGTTCGGTGCCCACGATTCGACGTCGCCACGACCATCCACGACACGGTGAAGTTGGAGGACTCTATGCTGTTCACACAGTTCGAGGCGGCTCGAGCGAGACTGCAGGGAGAGCTGGTGGTGGGAGAGGGGACACGGGCTGGGGGACCGCTGGAGCTGAGGGACAAGGCGGGACAGCCGGGTGGCGAGGGGCAGTGGGGACAGCATCAGCTGCGGGGTCGGGTGGCGAGAGGAGCAGGTGGGCGGAGGGGATGGCAGGGGGAGCAGACGGGCCAGGACGGAGAGGGGGGGCAGCAGAGGCAGCAGCAGGAGAGCCAGCGAAGGCCGTGGGCCCAGGGCACCGCGCCTCCTGGTTTGGGCTGGGGGGTGGGGCAGGGGCGGGAGCAGCAGAGAGCGGACGGGGGTACAGGGGGGGCAGAAGGATCGGGAGGAGAGGACCAGGGAGTGAGACAGGCAGCAAGGGATCGAGCAAGGGGGTTGGGAGGATTGGGGGAGGGTAGAGAGGAGGAGGGGAGAGGACGGGTGGGTGGAGGAGAGGACAGGGGGAGAGAGACGACCGGAGAGGAGGCACCAAGGGACCAAACATGGCAGCAGCCAGCCCAGCGGCAGGGACCAGTCGGATGCACAGGCCATGTAGGCACCTCCTCCTACATCCCAGACCTCACCTGCCGCGATGTTAAGTAGGCTTTGATGGTTCTTGTGGATGTCTCCATAGCGGATCCACAGCGGGAGGGGTACGTACAGCTAGGACGGGCGACCCGCACACAGATTGGAGTGGCAGCAGCTAGGTGGGTGCAGGAGAAGCTGCGTCACTGGGGGGCACACTTAGTGGGGTTGCAGCCGGCACCACACTTTTTCGCGTGCGTGGCTGAGACCTTTGGCCTTCAGAGCGAGCCGCTGCGTCAGTTTCTAGGGCTCTGCGCAAAGAGGATAGCACAGCGGAGGAGGGATAGGGGAGGGGGGGATGACGGATCGGCACGGATATTTGAAGCTGGACTCACGGCGCAGGCTCAATGCATCATCCAGCATGCAATGCGGCAGTTGGGGGGATCCGACGATGGGTGGATGCCCGCACCAGTCCCACTGAGTGCGGGGCAGGGTACATTGCACCACATCACAGGGTGCTTCGAGAGTATTGCTGACATGTAACATATATATGATGCATATGTGTAAAAAGCATTAGTAGTTGTGCTTGAAACGCTGTGCCTGCGCTGTCGTGCGGGTTGCTGCCGTGTCTCCTTGGTCTCTTTCCCTCTCTCCTCTCCTCTTCCCACCTCCCTCTTTCTTTTCCCTTCTTCTATCCTTCTCTTCTCTTTCTACCACACTCTTATTTTCGCTATTACTTCTTCTTACTCCTTGATCCTTCCTTCTTTCTTTCCCCTCTTTCCTACAAAATATATATACCGTCCTCATAGCATTTAGTCATGCCAAAATTTCCTATTTTTGGAAAAACCATTATATTCGGCTTGTATTTGCTTTTCCCCTTTGAATGAATAACTGCTCTCGCCCACCGGCGCCTAGCTTCAGAGTTCTGATGGGACCTGGCATAGTAGCCGAGGTATGATTGTACCACATCAATCCCGTGCCCCAACCGGTACACACCCCTTGCCCGGGCCCCCCCTTCATAGTCACACCCCCTTCCCCATCATGCCATCTGCTCCCCCTGCCCCTAACCTCCGTGTGCTCGCCCCCTCGCCGCCTCCTTTGACCCTCCCTGCCCCCCTCGCCGTTTCCCACCGCCCGCCATTCGTTCCTCCCCGCCCGTGCCCTCCCCTCGTTTACCTTCTTCTCCCCCCTCCCCTCCTCCGCTGCATGCGTCTTTCTTCCCCTCGCCAACCTACTCCACTCCCTGCCCCTCCTCAATCCGCACCCTGCCCCTCGTTTCTCGGCCCCCTGCGCTTGGTTTCTCCCCTTCCTGCCCCTCGCTGCCTTTCTCCGCTCCCCTCCTCCCCCCTCTCCCCGCTCCCCCACTCTCCCCCTCTTGTCCTTGGCTTCCCACCTCCATGCCCCATATTTCCCCCTCCGTGTGCTCAGCCTCTCCCCTCCCTGCCTCTCCCTCCTCCCTGCCCTGTCCCTCATTTTCCACTCCCCCACGCACGGTTTCTCCCCTCCCTGCACCTCCCTTTCTTTCTCCGTGCCTCTCCCTTGTTCCCTCCCTGCCCCTGGCCGCCCATGCCCCTGTCCTTGGTTTCTCCCCTCCCTGCCCCACGTTTCTTCCCTCCCTGACCTCACCTTGTACCCTCTCTGCCCCTCCTTTGTTTTCCCCGCACCCATCGCTTCTCCCCTCCCTGCCCTTGATTTTCCGCACCCCTGCCCTTGTTTCCTACCATCCACGCCCCCCGTTTCCGCCCTTTGGACGTTCAGCCTCTTCCCTCCCTGCCCCTCCCTTCCTCCCCCCCTGCCCTGTGCTTTCCCCTTGCTACACTGCCTTTTCCCCCTCCTTGCTGCCCTCTCACCACCATCCGCCCATCCCCACTCCCAGCCCCCCTCCCTACCTTCCCTCTCCCCTTCCCCCCCCCTCTCTCCCTCTCCCTCTCTCTCTCTCTCTTTCCCCTCCCCCCCCACCCCCCACCCACATCCTCCCATTCTGCCCCTCCCTGCCCCTGTTCCACCCCCTCGCACACCCCTCACCTCCCACCTCCGTGCAACTGGTTACCCCCCTGCGGTGCTTCCCGTGCATCGCTCGCCCCTCTGCTCACCCGCTGCCCGCCCCTTTTCCTTGCCCTCAGCTGGCCCAGCCCCTGTCCGTTTCTGCCCCTCCCCATTCCCCCTCAACTCCCCTGCCCCCTGTACACCCCACTCCCATCGAACTGCCCCCACCCTCTCCCGGCTGCCCGGTTTCGCTCTCCACCCCCCCAACCGTGTGCGGCTTCCAACCGCCCCTCCCCTTGCCTCCTCAACTCCCCTGCCCCCCGTACACCCCACTCCCATCGAACCGCCCCCACCCTCCCCCGGCTGCCCGGTTTCGCTCTCCGGAACTTCAGTGTTCTGCGCTTTGTAATTTTCGTGAGTGGGTTTGACTTGGGCTGCGTGTCGGAACATTGTCGCCCAACTGCAGGTTGAGGCGCTTGACCAATCCGGACTGTAGGTGAGGTGGCGCTTGACTTCCGCCCACTTGCACTGTTCTTGGAACTATGCTGCTGCACTGTTACAGTTGACGTCCGCCCACCTGCACTGTTCTTGGAACTATGCTGCTGCACTGTTACAGTTGACTTCTGCCCACTTGTAATGCAGTTGGCATCATTTTGCTGCTGCACTGGTACATTAGTTTCCTCTCCAAGTGGCATCGTCGATGGCGCCAAACCGTTGCTGTTCAAGTATCGATTCACAGCAGTTGCAGTGTGGTCGAGGTGGTTCTCGGGTTCCCACGAGTCTTCACTCGGAGGCTGATCCTTCCTATGGACAAGAAACTCACGACCATGAGCAGTGATAGATGAAACCTCAAACAGGCCGGGGCTGCGTTTGAACATCGGTTGCAGTTGGCGCATGGCTGGACGGTCATGTGAAGGTGCACGGAAGGGCGGAGGTGCTGGACATGGAAGACGGGGTGAATCTTCATATAGCTGGGCAGTTGGAGACGGTAGGTGACTGGTGAGAGGGCTCGGGTGATGGTGAACGGGCCAATGAAGTGAGGGGCGAGTTTTCTGGTTGTACCTTTGCGTAGGAGAGGGAGATGATAAGTGGTGAGAAGCACTTGATCACCAACCTTGAAGCGGATATCTTTGCGGTGGGAGTTGGCATAGTGGGTCTGTTTTGATTGTGCTTTAAGGATCGAGATGCAAGCGGCATCAATGGCTGATTCGAGTGAAGTGAGGATCTCAAAGGCTGCTGGTGCATGGGAGAGAAGGGAGGGTGGGGTCGTTGGGGGGCGTGGGTGCTGTCCGGTTGCGAGGTAGAAGGGTGGCTGACCAGTGGAAAGGTGGGGTGTGCTGTTGTATGTGAGTTCGATGGCGGTGAGGTGGAGGTCCCAATCTGTTTGGCGAGTGGTAACTTGTGTACGAAGGGCATCTTCAAGCGTGTGGTTCATCCGTTTGGTTTGTCTGTCCATTTCAGGGTGATACGCTGTAGAAAAATTCAACCGGGTTCCGTCAAGCTTGAAGAGGCTTTGCCAAAAGTTGCTCAAGAAGCGAGGGTCATGGTCTGAAATAATGGCGGATGGGAGGCTGTGTAAGCGGACTATGTGATCGAAGAAGAGCCGGGCTGTTTCAGGTGTGGTGACGGTTGTGAGTGTGGGGATGAAATTAATCATTTTGGAGAGTCGGTTGACGACGACTAGGATAGCAATGTAGCTGCGGGGTGTGTGGGGCAGATCCATGATGAAGTCCACGGTGACTTCATCCCACACTTTGGTAGGTGGAGGAATGGGCTGAAGGAGTCCGTAGCGGTTGGTGGTGCGTGCTTTGAGTGGTTGGCAGGTTCGACAGCTACGAATGAAGTCGCGAACATCAGCCTGCATGCGTGGCCAATGGTAGTCGTTGGAGATGCGTGCGTAGGTCTTCTCAACACCAAAGTGGCTGCCGTTAAGAGTGCCATGGTATTTGGAGAGTAGCAGCTGCCGTAAGGAGCGATCAGCAGGGACACAAATGGTCTTGGTGATGGTGTTGTACCAGAATGGGTCTTCAAATGAGTAGGCCGGGTCCTCAGGTGCTTGCTTGACAAAAAACAGGTCACGTTTGTAGGCGCGCTGAAACTTCGTGATGAAGGTATCATCCCAGGTGATGCTGCTGGTTCCATGGAGTTGCAATGGTGGGTTTGGAGTGTGAGGTGGAGGTGATGAGGTGGGGCTGGTTGGGGCTTGGTGGGGCTGGTTGGTGGTTGGTTGGGGCTGGTCAGTGGGTGGTGGGGCTGGTCAGTGGGTGGTGGGGCTGGTCGGTGGGTGGTGGGGCTGGTGGCGGTGGTCGGGACAAGATGTTGGCTGGGTTGAGTTTTCCGGGGCGGTAGATGATCTGAAGTGAGGGGACAAACTGCTCCAAAAACTCAGCCCATCGGGCTTGGCGGCGGCTGAGCACGGACTGTGTTTTCAGGTGTTGAAGAGGGCAGTGGTCGGTGTAGACGGTGAAGGGCTGCAGCTCCACGTAGCAGCGCCATGTCTTGATTGCGTGGACAATGGCAAGGAGCTCCCGGTCGTGTGTTGCGTAGTTGCGCTCTGCAGGTTGAAGCTTGCGTGACTCAAATGCAAGCGGATGCATCCCATGGCCGTGGTCTTGGCAAAGAATGGCACCAACTGCGACATCAGAGGCATCGGTCCATATGAAGTATGGCCGTGACGGGTCAGCGACGGTGAGAACCGGTGCAGTGGTGAGAGCCGTTTTGATCGCAGTGAAAGCGGTCTGCTGCGGTAGTCCCCACTGAAAAACACCTCCCTGATGGAAGAGATCGGTCAAAGGGGCGCAGATGTGAGAGAAGTTGAAGATGAATTTGCGGTAATACTTGGCGGGGCTGCGCAGCTCCGCTACCGTGCGTGATGCTGGCCAATCAGCAAGGCACTGGACCTTTGCGGGGTCCATAGCAATGCCCTTGGACCTGATGACGTGGCCGAGAAAGCCGATGCTTGAACGGGTGAAGGTACACTTGGACAGCTTGGCGTAGAGGCGGTGTTGGTGGAGCGTGTCGAGGACGATGCGTAGGTGCTGAGCGTGTTCTTCGAGTGATTTGCTGAAGATGAGGATGTCATCGAGGAACAC